AAGCTGTCTTTGTGTTGAACTAAAGCCCTTGGGCTGGTCAAAAGAGCCTGGCTCTGGCCGAGACTGTGGCAGTGCTAAGGTTAAGCCGTAGCCAATCTTAGCAGTGGTAACCCAAAAGCCCATAGCACCTCAAAACCTAGTGTATCTGTCTACTATTTTTATGATGCTCCTCCTGTGACTCAGTAGATTGGAATTTCCCTCTCAGTGGCTCTATTTTGCTGATTTCTGTGGAGTCCCTCTGGTATGTGTTACTTGGTCACCATCTTGCCAGAAGTCCCAAGATTTTGTCTTACATACGTATGTTACTGGGCAAGACAAGTCTCTGGAAAAGGACATCATGCTTAGTGAAGTACAAGGGCAATGAAAAAGAGGAAGACTATTCACAAGATGGATTGACACAGTGGCTGAAAAGATGTCCCTGAACATAACAATTGTAAGGATGGCACATGAACGGACAGTTTTGTTCTGTTGAACATAGACTCCTATGCATTTGACCTAACAGGATGGCACCTAACAATTTTTCTAGATGCATCGATTACTCCAACCCTCCACCCCCCAAAACAAACAAACCTCACTCCCATAGAATCAATTCTAACTCATGGCCCTGTGGGTTTCTAAGACTGAAACCCTTTACAAGAATAGAGAGCCTCATCTTTGCAGTGGTTTCAAAGTGCTGACCTTGAGATTAGCAGCCCACTGTGTAACCACTATGCTGCCAGGGCTCCCTCATACCTTCCACAGTCTTATTATTATTAAATGTTTTTAGCTGTTTCCTCTCATTGTGAGTTGTGCCCCATCAGTTAATAAAGGTACCAAAAGCTTTGGTCTATGTCATTAGGGTCATATCTATTTTGAGGAGGCAGTTTTTCTCTTATATTGTATCTTCCAACCTGAATGGCTCATCTTCTGGCACTATATCAGACAATGTTCTACTGTTATTCACAATGTTTTCTGTTGCTAATTTTTAAGAAGTGAGATTATTCTTCCTTATCTGGAAGCTCTGCTGATATATGAACAACTGTGACATATATTGTAGCATCGCAGCAGCATACAAGCCACCACAGTAAACAGAGAGACAGGTTATAGAGAATTATTTGATTCTGAAATTCCAACCCTAGATATATATCTAAATAGTTGAAACCAGTGACACAGACACATTTATACCAATCTTTATTGCAGCACTATTAATAGTAGATAAGGGATGCTAACAACTTAACACCTATGAATAGGTGATGTAATACATCCAATGTATATATGTCCTGAAAGGTGTTACAACATGGTAAAACACGAAAACAGTATGCTGACTGAAATAAGACACTTTCAAAAGGATAAATATTGTATAAATCCACCTATATGAAATGCCTAAATTGGCATGCATTTGGAAAACAAAGTTTATTAATGTTCACTAGGAGCAGAAGGAACAGGGAAAAGGGAGCATTGCTGTGGGGAAGCAACATTTCTGTTAAGTGTGATGGAAAAGTTTGAAAATGCATCATGTGATAGTTTGTTAACATGAAATATGTAATAGAATTATAAATGTAAAATGTTGACCTGGTAGTTGTTTTGCTTTATATGTGTATTATATACCACAATAATGATAAAAGGGTACAGAATAAGTATATCTCATGTTACTTTATTATAGCCACACTCCCTCCTTCCCACTTTATCTTTAAATGCTGACAATCACTAACCTGATTTCTATAACATTGTCATTTTGAGAGTGTTATATAACGTGTATATACATTTTGGGGATTTGCTTTCCTCATTAAGCATATTCTCTGGAGATTCAAGCAAATTGTTGGATGTACTAATAGTTAATTATTTTTGTATTGCCTTGTATTCCTTGTACCAAAGTGACTGGGAAGGGGAGGGTGGGTTGTTATTGTTCCCCTTGTTGCTTCCATTAACACTGTAGCAGTGGGGGGGTTGTCTTGTTGCTGTTTGTTACTGGTAAAAGTCCTGACGCTCCATCAGACCTCTTTTCAATTGACACTGTGTGAAGGAGTATATTATTAGCATACAATAACAAATGTCCTGGCTTTCTACTTATTTCTTTGGCATTCCCAGGTGGGTGTAAATGGGGGCTTGGGTATCTCATTACAGCCCAGAGATGGAAATAACTTTTTGATGTGGGTAGTTGTCTAGTTTCTCCATTTGGCTTTTGTTGATATGGGTGGTGGTAAAGCCTTGGTTGTCTTCTGTGGCATTAGGATAGAGCAGAAGGGTTACTATATGAAAATTTTCTATCTAGCTACACTGTCATTTTTCTTGGTTCATTGGCCAGAAAGAGCAGTCTTTTGTTGTCTACTCTGATTGGTGCTTTATAGTTGCTAGCTTCTTTCATTCCAGATCTGGACTATGTGAGGCAGAAAGAAATCATAAGAAATGCATTGCTATATTGTTCTTCAGAACACTAGGATCCTTAGCCAATTTGCCTTTTTCTCTCCACTTTTCAGAGCCTTCTTTTATTTGTATTACATATAATATATAGTGTTTTTAGCTGTATTTTGCAGGAAGAAGAGGAAAAGTACATCTCTGGTGTTTTATGTGTCCTACTATTGCCGTAGTAAATTACCACAATGTCAGTGGCCTAAGAAAACACAAATTTTTTTTTACAGTTCTGGAGCCCAGGTCTCCAATGGGGTTCACTAGATGAAATCAAAGTGTTGGCAGGGCTGCATTCCTTTTGGGGAGAATCTATTTCCTTCACTTTTCCAACTTCTACAGGCAATCTGTGTTCCTCAGCTCAAGGCTGCTTTCTCTATCTTCAAAATGAGCAATATTAACATTTTAAAGTCTTTTTAACTCTGATTCTCTTCCCTCATTTAAGGACTGTTGTGAGTATATGGAGCCCACCACCAGATAATCCAAGATAACATCCCTTTAAAATATTAGTATCTACAAATCTTTTCCATACGAGATATCTTATTCATAAAAATAAAACACTTCTAACCAAATTCACTGCCATCAAATCAATGCCCGCTCATAATAACCATATAGGGTTGGGTAGAACACACCTTGGAGTTTCTAAGACTTTAACTCTTTATGGAAATAGAAAGCCCCATCTTTCTCCCAAGGAGTGGCTGGTGATTTCAAACCAATGACCTTGCAGATCACAGCTCAACATGTAAACACTAAGCCACCAGGTTCCAGTAATTAGCACATAAACATCTCACAGGGGAGGATTTCTCTGCTACCACATCAATCTTCCTGTAGGCAAATGTGCAACTCTTATTCCTCTTATTGTAAAAAGAAATTATTTATACACTATAACCTGACGTTCACAGTATACAAAAGCATACTTCTCAGGTTGTGATAAAGGGGATCTAACTTTTTAAGCGCCCCAAAGCAACAATAATTGGGATAATCATTAGTAGAGGATCTAGGGACCTGGAATTCTATCTGTTACCTTAGAAATGAACATGCTTGCTATTCCTCCCTGTAGACCAGGAGTTCTCAACCTGTGGGTCGTAACCCCTTTGGGGGATGAACGACTCTTTCACAGGAGTCGCCTGATTCATAACAGTAGCAAAATTAGTTATGGAGTAGCAATGAAAATAACTTTATGGTCGGGGGGTCACCACAACATGAGGAACTGTATTAAAGGGTCATGACATTAGGAAGGTTGAGAACCACTGTTCTAACCCCTGATAGAGATAGTTGGTAGGAGATATAGTGTAGCAGTTAAAGTTTTCATGACCAAATTATTTTCTGCCTTGCATTTTTTGTTGATACCATGTGTTCACAGTAATGGAAGATATGCAGAAATCAAGGAAAAGACCTTTTTGAAGTCATGTCGATTTCGATACGATTTTATATGAGGAACAAATACATCCCAAATAGACTCTGATCTGGCCTTTTCTTTTTTCAGATTCACATTATACAAGACCCCACCAGGCTGCAAGAGACACCGCACATGGATAGCAGCTTAAAATAAATCTGAGAAACTGAAGATGGTAGGCAATATATGACCCAAACCATTAACAAAATGGTTAACAAAACAAGTTGTTAACCTGTTAACAGAACAGGCCTATAAGCTGGATTTTCTGGGTTGACCCCTTTCAAGTCCTATGACCTTCTGCAAATTAATTTACCCATATGGACCTCAGTTTAGTCATCTGTAAAATGAGATATGCTCTCAGTGTTAGAAATTATATAATTTCATTAATCTCAAGGTTCACTCTGATGCTTTAGAATCATTAAAAGACATCTAAGTGATTTGTACAGTGAATGTGCAGACAAGTTTGTGAGTCATCACCTCAAAGTATTGAAATGGAGGATTTAAGGTTCACAGATGATGTGGTAACTTACTTTTTGCTTGCAAAGGATAATCTTTCCAAGAAAAGAACTGAGAAGTGATAGTGGTGGGGGCCAGGACAGCCTGGAAGTCTTTTTTGGGGACCCAATTTCCTCATCTTTAAAAGCAGAAATAAATATATCTTGTCTACAAAATTTACATAGTTTTAGAAATTATAAACTGCTCCGCAACAGCTTATGCATATATATATATTTTCCTATTTCACATCATACTCCACTCCGCACCTCCTTTTTCAGCAGATCCCACAATTGTTTCTCTGACCTGCAATAAGTGAGGGTAGTAGGAGTTTGTACAAATCTAGTTGGCTTCCCAATAGGGAGACAGGCAGAACAGAATCTGACCACCTGTGGAGTCCAGACATATAAACCTCCTCTTAAAAACTGCTCCTAGGTCCCAATACCAATCAAGGCCATGGACATCGCTATGGTCAATGTGGGGCTTACAGCCATACTGGAAAACACCTGGAGCTGTTGAAAAGCCATAGGCTACTAAGTCTGACAGTTCTGTAACCTTGGTAGTAACTCTAGTTTTTCAAAACTATTGCCTGTCTTATAAAATAGGAATCATCATATCCACCCACATAGGATATAAGATGAAAGGATTGAGAAGGCAGTCTAGGGAGTAAAAATCAGTGTGAAGTATCTTATAGCCATACACTTATATCTAAAAGATCAAGTCATAATGAAGTCTTCTTAAACTTTATTTGCACTGAAAAAGGACATGGGTTGAACATAAACCTTCTAAAATATAGAAACTCCCCCACCCCCACAGATGCACACAAAACTCCTCCTCACAAAACCCCTTTCTCCTCTGTCTCTCTGGGAGTGAGTTATTGCCTCTAAGGTGACTAAGCTACCCCAGAACTATAGATTTGAATTTAGCCAATATAAGGCATATCACAAAAAGAGAGTGTCAATATACTTCACAGCAACACAAGACTCCCCAAGGTTAGGCAAGGAGGGAAAAAACAAGGCAGTTGTGTTCCATAAGGAGGGACGGGATACCCCCTTATAGACCACAGTCTGGACAAAAGGCAAACAGGAAAAGAAAAACAAAATACAAAGTACTTTAAGAATGGAGTGCATGATCTATAGTGACAAGTGGCATTACCAAGATTGAAAAGTTCTTACATTAATTTTCCTGTCAAAACATACTATATAATACAGTATAAACTTCTTATGTGTGAGGGTAATATGGGTATGAGGCCAATATAGTCCTGCTTTAAGACTAATATCTTCTAATGGTGCATTAGTAAGATCAGCAGAAATCAGTATTGAGCTTGATATTATTGGAATATAAAATACTGGTAGAAAGAAACAGAGCATTTTTGAGACAGAGGAGAGAAGGAGGCTGCTTTTGGGTTGAGGGCAAGGTATGAGGATGTGGAAGGCACCAGGAGTCCTTACATAGCTCCCTGGTTTATAGTTGAAAGGGCAGAAGGTTTGTTGAAGAGGCATAGCCCAGTAACTACCTTGGAAGGGAGTGAATGGAAAGTGGGTGTTGGGTATTTGAGGGGGTTAAACAAATTGTGTCATAAAGGCCAAGTGTTTTTCTCACCATACTTCCTTTCACCTACCTACCAATTAAACCACACTCTAGGGATCATAAAGTCACCTAGATGACACCAAAGCAGAGTTAGGGCCCAAGTATCTGAAGGGAGAAGTGATCTGGGAAACTTGGCAGGAATAATACTGAAGCCAGATGTGAACATTTTCTCTATTTTAGGATAAAAAGAAGTTAAAAACCCTAAATGGTGTTTTCTGAGCTCTGGATACCCATCCCTACTGTTATAGCTGGATGATTTGGTGATAATTATTTTTGAGAAGGGGCATATCTAATGAAGAAAAACAGCAGCCTAGGGACCCAGAATCATATAGGCTTCTGCTTTCCCTTGAGATAAGCCTAAACTTCCATAAGGCACAGGGGCATAATCTTTTACCTAGATTTATCTGAATAGAATGGTCAATGACCTTATAGGATGTTGGCAAAGCCTCTTAGAGGCACCATGTCCCCAATCCTGGGAGAAACCAAGTGCCTGAATTCAAGGAAAAGGCTTATTGGACGTGAGATTGTAACAGGCCCAATCTGGGAATGGCTGAACATTTATTTAATCTGTAATCACTATAAAGTCTAGATTTTTCTAGAAGGAATGGACATTGGCAAGTCAAATCCTAGGTCATTTGACATCCTAGAGCAAATGCCCTGCCTCCTTCTGTAAATCCTGTCATATTCCAACACCCTAAATCACAGGATCCTGACAAGGAATACAGCAGTGGAGTAGGGGAGGAGGACTAGTTTTCAATCAATCCAATTTTTAACTCCCAGAGAATGTGGAGCTGTTTTCAAAATCAAATGGAAAGTACCTCTGATTTGTGAAAGTGATCACTTCTAGCAGATTAAAGGGAACAAAGACAGGAAAATGAGTTCCATTAATATCACAGTGGGCCGTTTTTGTGCCCAAGGAAGTGGGTGAAGACTGAGGGTTTAGATTTGGTCCCATGGTTGCACTGGAAGTTCATTATGACTCAAGGTTGCTCTAGTTAGTGGATCCAGCATAGTGTGAGTTAGGCAAGGGTGTAGCAATGTGGGTAAGGAAGAACTGGAATGGTCTGAAGAGACTTGGTGCCCACTACATAGACTCAAACTCATCGATGCGCTGCTTGGTGTTGCCCTGCCGGATTTGGCGTAGGGTCTTGTATTTGTCTCGGCCCAACCGCATATTCTCAGCATGGATCATATCATTGGCAGTCTTCTTAGACTCATCACGGGCATTGGCCAGCTCTGAAGTAAGGGCCTGTGAGGGGGAAAAAAGACACAGGGGTGAATGGCTTCCTGTCACTTTACCTCCTCTTTCCTTTTGAGAGCTTTTTTGAATTGTTAGCACAGCAATGGGATAATAATTTTTAAAAAATAGGGGACCACATGACAATGGATAACCCAAGAATAGAACAATATACCAAAGATGCAGGTAGGAACTGTGTTAGCTACATAGTCTGTGAATATAGAAGCTGAATGTAGTGGAAGTTAGGAGTGCAGATTATCAAGGGTTCAGGGGGAGTTGGGAGTGGGGAGGGAGGGGGAAAAATGAGGAGCTGACACCAAGGGCTCTAATGGAAAGCAGGTGCTGTGAGAATGATGAAGTCAACATATGTACTAATATGCTGGACACAAATGTATGGTGATGAGTTGTATGAGCAGATGGTGATGAGTTGTATGAGCTCCTAATAAAATGATTATTAAAAAAAAAAAGAAGGAAAGAGGTGACTCAAGGTCTGATTAATTAAAAGTGGTTGCCTTTAAAGTTCTCACTTTAGAAAAACTCAAACTCTCACAGAGCACTGGCACAGGATGCTCTCTATCTACCCACTCATAATGATCTAGGTAAATCCATGATCTCTTCGACCCACAGGCCCTGCCTCCATACCTTCAGGTGCTTCTGCACACGCTCATTCTTCTCTGCCTCAGTGGTACGGTCTTCCTCACTGCGGTCCTTGGCCATGGCATCAGCCTGAAGATCAGCACTGGCCTCTGCCCCATTGTCATCCTGCTCATTCTCAGCAGGTTCTGCTACATGAGGTGTACTCATGGCAGTCTTCAGCTCAGCACGGGTCTTTTCTAAGTCTTCCTGTACCATCTGGGCCTATCCAGTGACAGAAGGAGAAAAGGACTAGCAGTGTGAACATGCTAACTTACTGTGTCCTGCACATGCCAAGAGGGTGGCAGGAACCAAGAAGGGCAAGTCACTTCAACATCTTCATTGTTACATATCCTCAACTGTAAAATAAAAATAAGTTTACCAACTTCCCAGGAATTTAGGGAATACTTGGAAATATTTAAGAAAGCCTTGAGCTCCCTTCCCTGGTATCAGGGAAGAATATAAACTAGAAGGAGAACACACTTAAGGAAATCAAAGGAGCCAGAGTATATGTATATAGTACCCCTTTTCACAATACATTGCTTTGGGCACTGTCGTTACCTTCTGTTGCCACTCCACAGCCTCACTCTCCTTCTTCTGGCGGGCCATCTCCAGTTGGGAGATGCGAGTTGTGAGCTCAGCCATTTCCAAGGCCTGTGAATAAATTGGCAGCTTATGAGAGCCCTTTGGGGTCCAGATGTATTCAACCCTAGATTCTCTAAGGGTCTGAAGGGAAACCACTATTCCAGTTACTTGCTGCCCTGAAGAATCTTTTACCTAGATCACTCAATTCTAACCCCATCTTTCCTAACCTCTTGCACAATCTTCACAATCCTCTTGCACAATCCTGTGGCAAGAAGCCCTGTGGAATTCATTATTGTCTAGTTGATTCCAACTCATAGCGACACTTCATATTACTTCCTAAAATGTTACAGGTTCCCACCTAGAATGCAGGCCTCTTGAAGATAATAAACTATTTATGTCTTCCCCATCTTTCTATCTCTTGGTATTGCCTAGTACACATTTGGAGACTCAGTAAAGCTTTAGAGATTGCTGAGCCACTACCTGAGGCAGAAGACTCTTCCCTCCTATCCTAGAATGCTCAGGGCTCAACTAAGACTCTCCCCAGGACAAGTATAGGGATAGTATTGAGGTATCAAGGGATTGGAACAAGGAGAAAAGCTTACACATATCGTTATACCTCGGGCAAATCTCCCAGGGGAAGCTTCTTTCTGATAATTAGGCCTTAGTTACCTTCACCTCCTACTCTAAAGAGTGTAAGGGAAAAACATGTCAAGGAATTTGGGCCAGATATCCTCAGATTTTGAGTCTCATAACTTGTGGAGATTGTGGTGAAAATAAGATGTTCAGCCCTCTCTCCACAAAATGCATAGAAACACTTACATATGCTTTAAGGGACCAAATCCAACTCTGCCACAACTTTTTTAACCTTCAAAAGGCCTCTTAGTCTACCTTACCCGAGCCCCAATTTTCTCATTTCTTAGGCTAATTATCCATAGGATAATTTAGAGGATAAAATAATTAAGTAAAGGAAAAGCTGTTAGGATAACTCTTAATGCACAGTATGAGTGTCATTATGTGTGACAGCTTTTTACTTCTTTTCTTTTTCCCTTTCCTTTGTAAGACCACCATATCATATTCCCGAGGGCTAAGAAAGTGGAATAAAAAACAAGGGTTATGAAAGACTGTTTGCAAAGATTTCTGGGTCACACCAGTGACTTCTCAACTTGATTCTGAATAGGCTATCTGTTGGAGGACCCTGGTGTGATCCCCTGATGGAAAGAGGCAATCTTGTAGGAAAAGGTAGCTGTAAATAGAAATTTGAGAAAACTAAGGCCTTACAATCCCAGACCATCCTAGAACTTTTACCAGCTGCTCCTGGGTTTTCTTCTGGTCCTGAGAGGCCTGCAACAGGGCCTTCTTGGCCTCTTCAGCTTCTTGACGCTCCTTAGCCAATTTTTCAGCCTCATTCTTGGCACGCTTCCTCTCGTGCTCAAGTTCCAGGGCCCTGCGGGTCTGTTCTTCCAATTCTGGGCAGATTCGGGGAAAAGGCAGTAAAAAGTGAAGGGACACCTAATTTCTTTCCTAGAAATTCTCCAACCCAGGGCACCCCAGGGCACAATTGACAGAGGACTCTTCCTTTTACACCATCCTTATCTATTCTGTGACCATACCTGGACTATGAGCTAGAGGAAACTCCAGCGCATACACTCAGGTTCTCGGAAAGCCCAGTTTCCAAAGCTGCCTCACCTTCCTGAGCCTTTTTAGTCTGTTCCTCTATCTGCTTTAGCCTCTCCATCAGCTCCTCCTTCTCCCGTTCAATCTTCTCCTTCTCCTTCTCTGCCATCTCCCGCTTCTTCTTCTCATTTTCCAGCAGAGCACTAGAGATTGATAGGAAGGGATGGAATAGGACAGCAGGGCTACACCAAAGCCTTAGGGTTCCCAATGTTCCACTATCTCTGGATTCAGCTCCTAGTATATCTTATAATAGTTTCAAGATTTTACCACTCTCCCTAATCTCTATATTTTTGTTTTCAGTGGCTACATAGTCCCACACAGACCACTTTTCTCAGGGCCCTGTCAGTTTGCACCAGACTCAGAAGAGACAAACTAACCCACTGGGTGGTTTTAGCTTTGCTGCTTCTCTGTTCCTTTTTTTCTCCCAGTCAAACCATTTTATTAGGACTTAATCCAAACCTCATACCATTCCATAATTCAATCATATCAAGCAGTGTTACAATTTGCTACCAACCAGTTCCCCTATCAGTAATGGGCCAGTAAGCTGTAGTGCAATATCCTTCTTATATATGGCCTTTTGGGCCTTGAGTTTGTTATTATACAAAAACAATGAGTAACTGGGTTGTAGTCTGCCCTGTGAATGGCTTGTTTTACATAGCTTGCAGGGACTGATTGATTTATTATGCTTAAGAGCATAGTAAAAGTTCCAAAAGTTGGCCCGAAATTCACCCAACAGGACTGAGTGACTTGCAGGAATTAGATTATGGTCCCACTGGAATGGCTATGCCTTTAAATTGACAAGGAATCTTCTTATATAAGCAGACAATCCCACAAAGGTTTTTAGAAGTGAGATGAGAAGAAGCACAAAGAGAGGCAAGGAAAGAGAGAAACAGAGAGAGACAGAGAGAGAGAGAGAGAGAGAGAGAGAGAAGAGAGGAAAACTCATAAAAGAGCAGTAATATGAGTCAAAAGTTGTTAACAATGGAGAGGGATCGAGATAATGATAAGCACAGCTGAGTACAGAGGCAAAAAAAATAATGGCAGTAGTACAAGTGGCAAAACAGGCAAATTGTAGCAGTGGGCAAGTCATCCCATAGAGCAGAGGTAGACATCTCCAGGCATGAAGTCACCAAAAGATTTGGGTGCCCTATAAAGGGGAAACAGCCATAGTCAAGGTCTGTGCTGGTGACTACCCAAACCGAACAAGTGGTAGTATGGGCCTGAACTAGACAGTTTGAGGCAATGGCAGATGTTCCAGCTTTGCTGAAAGCTGCAACCCTAATGCTAAGAGAAGACCTATCCTGAGGATCCCAAGAAGAGGCCTGTCTAGAGGGGTCTGCTAGCATGACAAAAGAAGCTTGCCAGCAAAATAGAGTGCAGATGAGCCTTGTCTTGGTTAGAAGCTGTCCTACACTGAAGAAGGGAGGGACGTGTTCCTTCTCTTTGGCAAACCTTCCACACTTTGCCTATGTGCTCCCTAAACCCGATCCAAAACTATTCTTGTTATTTCTAAATGGATCCTAATCCCAAGTTGAATCTTGTTACTTCTTTAATAAACCTCATAACTCTGTGTATAGTCTGTGAGTTGTGTGTGGCAATTAAAATGAATTATCAAAACCTTAAGAGAAGTAGAGTGTAACATGGGGAGTGGAGGCGATCTCTGGCATCAACAATGGTGAAAAAGTAAGATAGTGACAATATGTCTAACCTTCAATTCATAGATAACAGCTTTTGTTGAACCTGACTCTTATATCTCATGATTTAGGTGAGTTGATGTTAGATTATAAAAGCCTGCCACATAAACTTGTAAAGATACAGGAAGACAAGCTTTGGCACTGTGCTGGAATGCTGTGCTTCAAGTCTGGTTGATCTCTGTGGTTAAGGCATCATCCCTCAGGCTTAATTCTTCCTATTCTCCAAAGCCCAGCTCTAATTGCTGTCTTCCCTGAATTTGTTGCAAATTTAAGATATTTGCTTTTTCTTGTCACAGCACCTCTTCCAGGGAGCCTTATTGTACATCTTTCCAAGAAGTCTCTTTCTGCCTTTGAGATCTCAGCATACTTAGCCTATTCTACTTCTCTTCTCTATTATTTTTCCCTCATAGTACTTCTTATCATCTCACAAACTATACAATAGGATCATTTATTATCTCCTCTCACTGGAATGACAGCTACATGGGAACAAGGAATTTGGTTTATTTTGTTCACTGCTCAATAATTATTAAATGAATAACCAAGCATCTATACCATATCAGTTATGCATATGTGATTTTTGAGCTCTCGTTCCTACTAGACTATGAAGTCTTAGAGGACAAGTTCCCTGACAGATACAGCTCTGTAAATTATCCCTCTATCTAAGTGATTTAAAAAAAAAGTGAACCTTGGGGTCTAATCTCTTGTATATGTAATCTTTGTTTAGCCTACTAGATTAGACACTTCCGAAGTTCAACTCTTTTTGACAGAATACCAACTAGACTTGTGCTTTTCAAACTTTTATGTACCTAGGAATCACCTAGATTTTATGATGTAGATTCTGATTCAGTAGGTCTTGGATAGAGTCTCAGATTTTGCTTTTCTAACAAGTTTTCAGGTTATGTTGAAGCTTCTGAGCCTTTTATTATACTCTGAGTCACAAAGGGCTATAGTGCAAGAACACAGAATTCTTAGGAAAAATTTATCCAGTTCTATGAACAAAACCCTACAGACTATAGGTTTAAAAGTACATGGAGGCCTTGCTACTGCCACTATACTGGTCAGATAGGTTGGAGCAACACAAAGTTCATCCAGGATAGCAATGGCATAAGAGCTATAGACAATAATGCCCTTCCTTCCTATGGGCCTCTGGAAGCCTACGCTCCTGACACCTGCTTTACAGTACCTTGAAACTTCATTAAGGAAAGACAGGCCATCCCTGAACTGCTCTGTCTCCCTTCCAGGTCTATTAAACCTTCATGTCTTGACTTAGCAGGCTTTCCACTTTTGAGAATCTTCCTAGACTTGGTCCCCACTCCAACTGAGCAGCACCCACCGCTCCATCTGCTTCTGGTGCTTCTCTTCTCGGGCCTGTGCCTTCATCTGCTGCACCTCAATAGTGTCAGGTTTGCGGCGACGCATATATAGCTCATGATTTCCCATGCATAGGGCCAAGATCCGCTTGTTAATCCGCAACCGGGGAGCATAGAAGATAAAATCCTAGTAAGAAAGAAGAAATCATGAAGATTTTTACAGGGATAAGTACAGATGAGCTCCTGTCTTCTGAAAAGGTAAGTCTAAAAACAATGGAAAGATTATTTCATCCTATTCTCTTGGGTTAGTGATGGGAAGACTAAGGACTAGAGGTAAGGTGACTTGCCCAGGGCAGACAGCAGCTTAGTGACAGAGCCAAAACCGGAGCCTAGGCTTCTTGACTCTGAAACCAGTGTTCTCTTCACCAAATCATAATATCTTTGAAGGATCTGAACAAACTTTCGGTGCTAATTATGGATCTTGATGGGCAGGGGCCTCTCTTAGAGGCCTAATAATCCCTGCATAATTCCCTGGGTAGTTGTAGTTCAGATGACTGGACAATTTCTGTAGCTCGAAAAAAGCATATTTTGTAGCCAGCACTTAAAATTTATTTTTGGAACAAGGCAACTTATAAATGCATTGCTTGTCATATTTGTTTCTTTTAATAAGCCTTTGGTTTTCATTTGCTATTATTTACCCTTTCCTTATGAAAGTAGAGCACAGCAACAGTAAAAAACAGACATGAATATTTAAATCTAAACAGCTATTATCTCACATAGCTTGGAGTGCAGTGAAAGAAGCACAGGCTCAAGGGGCTCAATGACCTACGTTTGAATCATATCTCTACCATTTTCAGCTGTGAGATCTTGGGCAAATTACTCTAGTTCTGATCCTCAGTTTAGTCAAATAGATATTTTACAACCTACCTGGCAATATTGTTGAGGGTTTAAGGAAACAATATATGTGAAGTGTCTAGCAGGGAAAGTTCAGAGAACTAAGGAAAAAAATAGATGAGTCCTTAAGAAAAGGGTCTTTCACAATGGATGGATGGATGGATTGTGATAACAGCCATATGAGCCCAAATAATATGATTTAAATTTAAAAAAAAGAAAAGGGTCATTAGTCCTTGTTGCACAAGGTACACCAGAGGTGTTTTCTATCACACACCTTATCACTAGCTTTCCAGTCTTGTCAACCCCAGGCAACTGAGCAGGTTTTGAAGTGTGTTGAGCAAGTTAGAGGAATATTCTACCCAAGGGATTTTTGCATTATCAGGTTACTCTGAGCAGAAGTCTGAAAGAACAACAGTGACGTAATACCAAAAAGTAAGCTTAGGGAATCCACTTTGGTTAGGGATTTCTTCTAGCTTGAACGTCTCTCCATAATTAAAGACACATCTTATGTCAAGAGTTAACATTTTCTGGGGCACATAGACTTAGAAAGATAAGATGTACTCTTTTTCATCGGAGAGTCTTAGGTCAGCAGTGACCTTCTCTAGTACATACTTCTGAGACACATGTTGCAGAGTGGCAACAGGTCTCCCAGCTATTTCTCGACATTAACACCTCCATCCATCTCTAGACTCCTTTTGTGCCTTCTGTTCCCATCCACAATAAAAAGAAGAGAAAAATACAATAAGGCGATTACTTCCATAAATTCCACAGGTCTTGACAAGGTAGGTAGTAGTATATCCATTACACAAGTATCTATCTTAGCCAAAGAGGTCACTTACCGGAGCTTTTTTGTCAATGGGTTTGATGACAAATTTCTTGTCATTGAAAGAGATGTTCCTGATTTCACTCCAGGGAAAGCCTATCTTGGGAGTTAGTCTGTAGAAATGGAGACCAAAAACATCAGGACAAGGATAAGACAAGAAGGGCATGAGGGTTGGTCCTTTGCCCTCTTTCCCTTCTAATTTCTCCCTTGTAGGAGCAGACTCATCCAGTGCCATCACATACCACCAGGTTAGCTGCTAGTACTGAGGGTGCACAAAGGACCTCTTGACACCACAACCAACACAGAACCCATTGCTCTAATTTCTGAAGTTTTTTGTGGCATTTTTGGTTGAGGCATAGACTTCGTAACATTTTCTCAAGAGATGTTAAGTAGAGTACCAGTCCTATTTAAGTGGAAAATTTCCACGGAAGGTTATGACAAATTAGGGGGAGGTAAATAATGAAATACTGGATTGAGGAGTTACATGAAACAATGTAACCTATTAATCTATATCCTCACCAGTATAGGCCAACAATAATATAATAAGCAAGTGACATAAGACTACAGTGGGAAAGATTAAAAACCAAAAGTCACTTATCTACCATATGAGATTTTGGATTAATTATAAATGATGACAAGGTAACTTCTAAGCCCATATTATTCAATAGAAATATAAGGAGAATAACATATATCATTTACATATTATTAATAGCCATATAAAGATAAATAAAAACAGGTGGAATTATAATATTTATTTAACTTAGAATTCTAAAATATTAGCATTTTAACATGTAATCAATATTTTAAAAAATATTTATGAAGTATTTTACATTGTTTCTCACACTGTCTTCAAAATCCAGTAAATATTTTATACTTACAGCAGCATCTCAACCCATTCTAGCCATATTTCAAGCATGCAGCAGTTACATGTGGCTAGTTCCTATCCTATTGGACAGTACAAGTATAATTAATGCAGGACTTGGAGGCCTGAGGGAGGTTGTACAATCACTTGCTCAGGACTTAACTAGGATGTGAAAAAATTGAGGTAGGCCTCAGGAGGTATAGTCCTGCTCTATGGTGAAAGGTGAACCCTAGGTTTCAGAGTAGCTCAAATAAACTAAGAGAGTTCTGAGTTATACCTATCGTTCTGCTCATAGATGTTGAGACCCAAAGCATCCACCCCCAGCCATAGCTCTGAGCCTTTCTTATTCTTGATGCTGAAGTAGTTCACACCATACATCTCCAGGTCCTGGGAAATCTTCAGATACTCCAGGACAGCATCCTCCCTAAACGACACAGAGTAGGAAGGTCAGAGAAGACAAAGTGTGAATCAGACTCAGAGATATAGAAAGCCAGCCTGTTCTATACTTCTCACAAGGACCCTGTTGCCAAGGGGTGGAAAGTACATAAAAGGTGGGTCAATGATGGGGCACAAGGCACCACATGACTTTTGGCAAGTAAAACTTGTAGACAAGAATGTTTATGCCAGAGATTCATAAGGGAAATAATGGTGAGCTGACCTTTGCTGGCTTCCTGGTCAGCAGTTTGCTGACTTCAGAGTCAGCAGTTCAAACCCACCAGCTGTTCCACAGAAGAAAGATGAAGCTCCAGTGAAATTACAGCCTCAGAAACCCAAAAGGGCAGTTCTATTCTTTTCTATAGGGTCGCTATGAGTCAGAATCAACTCAGTGGCAGTGGGTTGTTATTGGTTGTAACATATTAACTGCCATATATGAGCAATTTTCTTTTTTATTAATATATATCATATCATTCAATCACACCAAGCATAATTGTACAGTTGCTACCACAATCAGTTTCCAAGCATTCTTTTTCTACATGGACTCCTTGACATCATCTCCCCTTCCCCCACTTCTACTACTCCACTCCCCTTCCCCCCCCCAAACCCTTATTCTACTTGCTGTCTCTATAGGTTCATCAATCCTGGGTATCATATACTGAAAAGTGGAAAAACATATAACACAACTTCAAGAAAGTGACCCCCAATGACATGACACCTCTAAGATACATTCAAATATGGACAAGCAAAACCCACACAGAGCAATATAAACTAAAGATACAGAAAATTTAGGAAACCATATCAGGTCTAGCACGTATTGTAGAGGAGATCTACTCACAAAGTTTTAACTGTTCAAGTTAGACTTACACTATGATCTTCTATACTCATCTCTCCAAAGATGAGCAATTTTCTTCCTTCCATTCAATGAAATAGTCTCTTATACGGTCAAATTCTTAGCAGAGGTCAAATGGGGTAGTAATGGCAAAATTACAACATTTCATTTTAACTCCCAAAAAGTTTATCATATTTAGAGATTTCCTTTTCCCATGTCCTTCTTTCTTATGGCCAAAATTGTTAGGACTTTCAGTCATCATGAGTCACAGAAAATAAAAATAAAGTGGTCTTTTGATGGGCCTGCTCTGCCTTCTAATCTTTACATTTCTCCCATGCACTGTGCAAGCATTGATATCGTTCCTGCCCTAACTGTTCATATCTTCTATCCCCTCTAGTCATCTGTCTTTTCTGAGAACAAACTACGATTCTCCTGGCAAGCGTAGTGGATCCCATAGCTTCTAGGATGTGCTTACTTGAGCATACTCCGGTGCTCCTCATGCCAAACCTGGACCCGCTCCTCCCATTGGTCCTTGTTGAGTTTGTGCTGTTCCAGGACCCTGGGAAGACAATGTGTGGTGAGAAGTTTAAAGCACAAAGCCTATGTGCAAAAGGGAAAGAAATCTTGTTTAGCTTTTTAAAAGGTTTTATGTATAGAACATACAAAACACAGAGTGGAATCCAAATGGCTTTGGCAGAAGTTAACAGGTCAAACCTCCCAGATCTAGTAGATGGTAAACGAGGCTTGTTTTAAGCATGCCATCTCAGACATCACAACAATGATTCAGGATATAATCACTGTCATATATCTATATCTATCTGGTACTTAAGTTCCCAAAATGAGGAAAGGTTTTTCTTTCCAATCCAAACACATATGAAAATGGCCGTTGTATGCAATGGGGAAACCCAAGTTTAAAAAAAAATTAAGACTAATTAGGCTTCTAGGTCTGGCTCTGCCTCAATGAATTGAGGGAGCTCAGGCAAGTCAGTCAAGCACCTCTACAATTGAGAGCTTTGACATTTGAAATATATAGAAGAAAGTTCTACACACTGCTTATCAATATTTAAAGACTATTTTGAGAACACTGTCTCCAGCTTGCTTATTTCACTCTCTCTTCTGTGAAACTCTAATAAAAGAGGTCAACAATTCAAAACCACAGAAGAAACACTGGGCTTTCTACCCCCACCCCCCCCAAGAGTTACAGTTTTGGAAACCCACAAGGCATTGACTTGATAACAGTGAGTTTTATTTGGTCAAATAAGTAAAAATGTGCTGAAAAAATGAAAACAGAGATTGGGGGAGACCCACTTCAGGTGTTCTACATAAGCACCTGCCTTCAAAGAAATAAAGTTCTATAATCAGGTCGATAGAGGAGGAATAAAAGTTTCTAATTGTCATTTGGAGAGCCAGAGAAACATATAGGATGATGCCAGAAGCAAATGTTCCTCTTTGAGAAAAATAACATGGTTTTTAGTCAGACTGTAAGCAAATCTGGTAGTCCTTTTGTAAGCTGCCTTGATACTCAGTCCCCTATGACCAGGGCAAAGTCTGATAGCATGCCACCTTACCTCTGGGGCAGCAACTTGTCACCAGCCAAGTAGCCCGACTTGTGCACATCCTTATTGAAGTCGCCATAGTTGGACTGGACAGCATATGAGGCCAGCAGTACAGCAGTCTCAGGTGGGCAGTAAATATCATCATTGAGAATACCCTCCTTTACTTGTAAGAAGAACAGCCGCTGAGTGATGTCCTGGATCAATTCCTCAGCTACATCCTCAGGGTAAAATTTGGCCCGGAACTTGAATAGTAGGGGGCTTTCCTTCCGTACATCCTGGGCTGTCACCTGAGAGCATGAAAAGGTAAGGGAATTAAAAATATAAATAATAAAAGGCTTTGGGGTGGAGGGTAGCAATAGGATGTGGAGAAACCTGGAAGATAATCAGTTTGAGTAATCTTGGTTTGCGGGATTTGCTTGGTTTTCTGGTAATTCTAGAAGGACACATTATATTCATTGGAGACCCAATCCATGTCCATAATCAGTTGTTTGCAATTTCTTCATAAAATGACCAAAAAATGAAAGAAAGAAATGACCTTAGACTTCTGATACCCTCAAGCCAAAAGTATTTGACAATATATCTAACTACCTTCAACATTTGAGATTAAGCATAAGAAAGCTCCTCTTTCAAGGATTCCTCCAACTCCACAGATTAGCAAATTAAAGAAGGATGTACCATTAGGGTCTGGGAATTAGCTAAGCAAAACAAAAAACTAGTCTATTGCTCAGGTTTGCAATAGGCTCCTGAAAGTAACACATTTTTTCAACAACAGTCTCTATTCCTTTGGAATCCTCTACACACAAGCAAGGAACAAGTCACAGGACAATACAGTGAAGATACTGAGATGAATGTCAGGCTCCTGTACAAATGCTGCTTGGAGTGAAGAGAACATATACTTTACAAATTCCATTGAGGAAGAACATCAAAGAGGAAATCATCTGTATGGGACAGTTAATGTATCCAGTTTTAGTTCTGTTTTGGAGTGGGCAGGAGAAAGGTGGGCATCACTATGAGAACTTTAAAATTCTGTCTAGTTCAAGGGTATTATGACTCTCTCTTTTATACTTTTTATTGTAAATTGAGTGAAGGTTTACAGCGCAGATCAGTTTTCCATTCAACAATTCATATATATTTTGTTTCATGTCATTGATTGCAATTCCCGCAATGAAACATCATTTATCCCACTTACTCTTCCTTCTTTCCTTACTCTTCAGAACTTAGTCCTTGGGTGAATGCTGCACTTTTGATCTCAAATGGTTGATTATTCTTAAGTGTGCATACCTCCCTCGTGTTATTGCTTCCCTTATAGACTTGCCTATTATTTGGGTGAAAATGTAATCGTTGGTGTGAGTTCATTTCCAGACATGAAAAGTGACTAAGGAAAATAGTCTCAAGGATTCCACTCTTGCACAGTAACTCAAAGTTCAGCCCTACAATATACCCTTAAACTGACAGGATGCTGGCATCTTGGATAGTCTCCATTTTCCAAATATATGATGCTATGAATATCTATTTGTATACTGTAATCACAATGAATTTATGACCTAAAACAAAAATAAAAAATTACCACCTTAAACCTATCAGTTTCTAAACCAACTGAGTGACTTCTGCACATGGTTGAAGACTAGGTAAATAAGCAAATGTGGTGAAGAAAGCTGATGGTGCCCGGCTATCAAAAGATATAGCATCTGGGGTCTTAAAAGCTTGAAGGTAAACAAG